AAACTATTTTTCTATTTCTGAGAGGGTTTTACGGCAAGAAAATGCCCGCCGAGCTGCTCCAATGCGTGTTGACGAAAATTGTAATTACAAATTTCATTCGTGCTGTCGGGGATCAAACCCGGGAAAAATTTACAGCGAACGCTTTGACCCAGATCTACTAATACGCCACAAATAAATACGATTTAACATATATAATTAAAAAAAACTCTTACGTACTTGAAACTTGAACACTTGATAGCTCGTGACGCCTACCGGACAAAGCTACAGCACAATGTAATTGAAGATGCGTAACCGCGACATAATTCTCAGTGATGCGTGAGCATAACAGGCAGTATGTCACTTATATAATTGTCACCTCTGCAGTCTATTAATCTTTGCACTTTTATAAGTAATACAGAACGTAGTTGCTAGACGGTGTTGACGTCGGCCAAAATCTCTGCAATCGCCGTTTCGTCAAGGTCATTCAGGCTAGTTAAAGCCTTAAGGGATCGCAGACCTGTAGGCGTTGCAGAAGGCTAGCGATAGCGAAATTAGAACAGTAATTGCTGATAAATCGCAGATTCGTATTACATAATACGAATCTACGATAACCAAGATACATATCAGCGATAACCAAGCTAACTAGCGACAGCGCTGTCTTGCGGTCGCTATTTAGCTAGGGCTTGGTTATCGCTGGTACATAATAAGAATCAGCGATTTATCAGAAATTATTGTTCTAATTTCGATATCGCTAGCCTTCTGCAAGATACGTAATACGCCTACCGGATTTTGACGAGTCAATTGTTTAAAACAGATGATTGTATTATTCAAAAGTATATTTTGAATCTATTCAAAGCATTAATAGGTTGTAAATGGAAATCCGTCCATTCATTACAACTTATAAAAGTCCACTGCTGAACATTGGTCTCCGCCATTGATTGCTTCATAGGCGATATTTTGTCATAGTTGCCACGCTTGGCAGGCGGGTTGGCAACGGCAATTTTATAATTTTGAGTTGTTATCAGGAAAATGCTGCTGCCCATCTCCTGTTTCAGTTTCCCTCTGTCGCCTCTTATGACACCTACGGGGCGATATGGGATAGTGGTTATTCTTACACCGCCGTTACGCAATTTAGTATTTGGAAATATGTTTGAAAATGTAAAAGTCAAGTTTTCATTTTTAAAAATAAGGGCGAGAAGCGACTACGAAGTCCACCTGATAGTAAGTCGATGCTGTGGCCTATAGACATCCACATCTATCATCAATAAAGAACCAAAATGCAGATGCGTTGTCAGCCGTGAGGACTAAGATGGAATGGCTCTTTTCCAGTAAAAAGGGTCTCCGGTTCTCTACACTCACCATACGGAACACAGCAGCATTAAACTGCTATTTGACGCTGGTATTCTGTGAGAGCGTAGTCCTTCCCCGGTTGAGCCGACTCATTATTGCTACAACTATATTATAAATATAGCTGCAGCTTGATTATACCACGTACAAAATTGTAAATTACCCCCACGATAAAAGAGAAAAAAATGACTCTTGAGGGCTAAATGGAATGCCTCGTTTCCATTAAAAAGAGGTATTTTACAAACAGTGGTAGAGCCACGCGACAGCTTCTGCTGTCGCACGGATGGGCCGGCTCGAACCGGGGTGGTACCACGACCTCACAGAATACCAGCGTGAAGTAGAGGTTTACCTCTTCGTTTCGCTTGGCGAGTGCAGGTGGCCGGAGGCCCTTTTTACTGGAAATGAGGCATTCCATCTTAATCCTCACGGGTGATAACGCATCTGCATTTTGATTCGCAAGCGAGGATAGATGTAGACGTCTATGGGCCGCAGCAACCACTTACCATCAGGTGGACTGTGTGCTCGTTTGTCACCCTTATCCTATATAAAAAAAAACAACATTAAAACTTAAGAGTCTTTATTGGTACCCATGTAATAAATGTTACAACGTTCTTTAATTTCCACTTTTTTAAATCTTTAAGCCTTTGCTCAATCTTTTTGCACTTCCCTTGCATGCGATCATTTGTTAGATTTATATTACAAAAGAGTTTTTTAATGCACAAAGACTTTGAAATAAGAATTCTGTCTATAAAGTTTCTCAATGCAGCTTTACTGGAGTACGCTTCCTGGTAAATTACACAAGGAAATCTAACCGCCGCCTTTGAATTCCCTTTACGGTAATGACTCATTCAATGGATGTCTACTTACTGCAGATGCCTGATATAAAATTTGATTGGGAAATGACTTTGTAGTTGTAACAAATAACAGCTGAAAAAGTTTTTCTGATTTTTATATTTCATCACTATGATCAATACATAATCCATTTTTACACGTGGCAGAGCCAGCTGCAGCGACATTCTGATTGTAGCATGAATATTATCAAAGAATATAATAATTTTAAGGCCGATTTTTCATGATGCAATTGATTGATGTTTGTCCTTGTGCAATATATGTTTGTAAACTGCCTCCACGATACAGGAGAAAATCCTAGTGTGGTGGTAACGTTTTTTAAAAAGAATAAATAAAAAAAATTCTTTAGTTAAAATTTATTCATTGTATAAAATACAACATAAACAAATTATACTATAAATATACTATATTTTACGTGGTAGAGCCATGTTGCAGCTATATTAACAGTATAGTTTTAGCACGAATGGGTCGGCTCGACCGGGGAAAGACCACGCTCTCACAGAATACCAGCGTAAAATAGCAGCTTAATGCTGCTGTGTTTCGTATGGTGAGTGTAGAGAACCGGAGACACTTTTTACTGGAAAAGAGGCATTCCATCTTAGTCCTCACGGGTGACAACGCATCTGCATTTTGATTCGCAAACGAGGATAGATGTAGATGTCTATGGGCCACAGCAACCACTTACCATCAGGTGGACTGTGTGCTCGTTTGTCACCCTTTCCTATAAAAAAAAACGAATTGATAATTACAGTTGTATTAATAAAACTTTTTGTTATAATAAACGAAATGTTTTGGTTTTCTTATTTTAATTTTTCCTTACTTGAAACGGCAAAAACCACCAAGTTAAGAGTATGTACTTTTTAAATAACATAATAAGCTTCCAATTACACTGTATATCTGTTAATTTAGACACTTATATTTACTTTTACGTATAGGAGGTAATATATTATTCAACTTCATTTTGTTAAGGTATTTGAAATAACATCATTTATCGCATCTTATAATTCTGTAACTATTCTAGAATAATTTATTCATCACGTCATTGAAATAATTTTTGCGTAGTATTATATCTTATAATATCTTTTGAAAAAACGATTGGTTTTAGTAACAAATTTAAATATATTGTGTCTTTGTTATTATGTTGCTTATTCCCTTAGTCTATCATATTATCTATTTTTTATTGCATTCAATTTAATAAAGGGTACTCAGATCATTGTTGTATATCATTGCTATTGAAGCATACTGAAAATATTTATATAAATTCACATAATTCTTAACATAAGATTGTAGTCTGAAATAAAGTTTTACAAAAAACTAAATAACGCTGCTATCACAGTCAAGATAGCAAACATTTTGAACGTTTATACATTTCGGAGAACCAGTACAAGCCACGCTCCGTTGGGTAGACTAAACGAGGTAGAAATTTGTGTTCGGCACAAATACTGCCTAAACGATGTAGCTCACAGTGAACTAAACAAAGAAACATATAAAATGATGTTTAGATTCCAATGTTTATATACTTTTCTAAGTCGGATGGGACTTAAAAGTTTTTTCGCTTAAATCGTCTCGGTGCATCCAGGGGCACATTTATTTTGCATTTATTTTATTAAGTTTTTTTTAAAAATATTTTTCTATTCTAAGAATAAAATAGAATACAATTTTAGTCTTATGGTTATTGTAATAAAATAGGAATATAAATAATAAACACAAGTTAAGTAGATAATAATCTTTCACTACGGCGTTTCGTTTTAAAATGCCAAATTCTCCTGCGGGTGTACGCCACACGCGGCGACCTTAGATGGCGGCGCGATACAAAGGAGACCGTATATAATCGAAAAGACTATACTTTACGTGAGGGTGCCGCGTTTAAAGGCGAAACACGTGTCGTATTATCGACGGTGGCGTGTCTTCCATAGTGTAGTGGTATTGAGGGTAATGGTGATGGGGATAGTGCACACAATTGAGGGAGAGCGGAAGGTGCTTTTCATACTACATCTTTTTTAACGCGCGTATCTTAGCTAATTAACTTTTAACTTCTTTAATTTACTTTAAAAGAATTCCTGAAAGAGTCTTGAAAGTTAATGAGCTAATTTTGATAGTTATTTTGTTCCTATGGATCACCAAACTCGATATTTCCGATGTTACTAGAAATTTTTGCTTCTTACAATATTATCGTTCACCTCAATAGAATGGTCATTTCTCTGTGTCAGAATTGCAACATTTTCTATGACTCTTGTCTCAGCCTAATGCTTCTGTGTTTCGTATAGTATACTACACTGTAACCACTACACGGTGACCACTACTCGTTGACACTGGTTACTCAGTCAGCTGCCGTTAAATTCGCCTCGTTTCTATTCGAGGTAGCCCTGAAATAACAGGCTGCCGCAGTGTCTATGTACATAGCATCCTATACAAGTGATTTGCCTTTCTCCCAGAACCATACTGTCGGGACTCCTACCATTGAATCTAAATAGAACTCTACCCCAACTCTTTCAGACAGTATTTGTAGTATAAAGTGACCAGTGACCTAGAAAAAGGGATGAAAAGAAGTGAGGGTAGAACTCTACCACTACTCGTTCGGGTAGTAAAATATAAAAATAAGCATAGTCAACTAACTTAAATCACAGTTGCTTAGAATATGTAATACACAGAATGTAAATGTGAAATACTATAAAACCAAAAAAAAAAACCATTTAAAGAGATAAGGCCCTTCGGATAACGTTGTAGTAAATAAACACATACTTAATAAATAGAGAATTCAAATACATTCAGTTTTACTCTATCCGTTAAGCACCCAAGTTAAATTTAAATTAATCCAACAATAATTATTGCCGGACTCTCATTCGAACCCAGTGTCCTCCTTGCAGCCTCATTTGAAAGCTGTCTGGTCGTAGTTTCCCGGGAATTGGAGTTTTCTCGCACGGAGATACTTCTATGTGCCGTAATAACTGATAAAGCACAACTTTTATTTCACATAATGCGAATCTTGAACCTGAAAACAAAAACGTATTTAAATAAGTTATTGCTACACCTGTCTTTAACTCTCATCACGCCACATGGCGTTAAGTACACATTTTCCATTATTTTGTAATAGGGAGTAAAATAAAGAATAAATAAATATTAAATGAAACAAATTTTAAGGATTTAATGGTGTTTTAAAAATTTTAAATATAAAATGGCACAAAATCCGTAAAATTAGTTTTATTTAATGTGTAGTATTCGTGTAAATATAAGAAACCATAAAATAAATAATTTATTTATTTATATCTACTTCTTGCGGAGTAGTACCAAGAACGCTCTTTGCGTTTCCCTGCTGAATGACTACATTGGCATTTAGGCGAGGAATATTTTGGGTGTAATGTAGATAATAATAATTATAAATTATATAAAATAAAATAATTTACGTTGCAGAGTCAAACTGCTGTGTAAAATGGCTGCAGCATAACTAGATCGTCGCAATCAGAAAATGACCAAAATCGCACAGGATACCAATAGAAAGTAGCAGCATATTGCTGCTGTGTTTTGTGTGGTGTGCAACGAGAATCAAAAACCCTTTTTACCAGTAACAAGACATTCTGTCTTAGTCTACAAGAGAGAAAACATATCTGCATTTTGAACAGTTTAATTTTTAATCGAAAAAAAATTTCATAGAATAAGGGAGACAAACGATCACATCACAGTCCACCTGATGGTGTATTCTGTATGCTGACCTGATAGACATCTACATTTATCCTAAACGCAGATACGTTGTCACCCTGGAGGACTAAGATGGAATTCTTCGTATCCAGTAAAAAGGGTCTCAGGTTTTCGACTTTCACCATACGAACCGCAGCAGCTTTAAACTGCTATTGTACACTGGTATTCTGTGAGAGTAGGGTCCTTTCCCGGTCGAGCCGACCCATTTGTGCTGCAATTATGTTGCTGCAGCATGGCTCTACCGCGTATTTATCGTAGCTTCCTTGAATTTAAATGCTTTTAATTTAAAAAAAATGTCTTTGAATTTAAAAAATGCTATATCCAGCAGTGATAGATCCACAATAGAGTAAGAAGACACAACAAATAATTTATATGAATAATATAAATAGCCTCGTTCTCAAAACTTACCAATACAGTTCCTCGGACCCAGACCAAAAGGCATATAAGAAAAGGGTTGGATCTTGTGTTTATTTTCCTCTGAAAATCGCTCCGGGTCGAATTTCTCGGGATCAGGAAAGTATCTTGGGTCACGATGAAAAGCCCAAATTGGAATTTGTAGCGCTTCGCCCTTGCGAATCTGAGAAACAAGGAATCAACAAATTTATAGTATAGGATGTTTATTTTTTTAATATTTCTATTGGGTATTAGAGTTTTTATTAAGTGGAATTATTTACAGCGTCTATCGTTTCGGCATATTACAAAGTAGGAAGTATATATTTTTTTAATATAGGCCATCGCACTTTAACATCTAGGCCTAACATCATTACTTAAAACCAAATAAAGTCGTACAAATTAGTAGCTTCTAATAAGTAAAAAAAAAAATGTTTTTCTTTGACTTTGTGCATTATGACAACGACGTGTTTCGGTTTAAATCACGTTATAGCCACAAGTTTCAACTGCGTAGTAAAGTAAAAGAATAATCACACAATTTTTCAATATTTTCCCTTTTAAGAGAACGACAAAATTTAAATGTTATTAATTACAAAGCGATGAAGGAGGTTGGTACCATTCCTGCCGCCAGACATCAGTGCACTCTATACTGTTTTCCAGTATAATTACAGTGTTTTCTTTTTTTAATTAAGTAATAAACGAAATTACTGTCCACTTTATGGTAAGTGGCTATAGCAGTCCTTGGACACCTGCAGCCCAATTCATAAAAGTAGGCTACAGATGCGTTGTCACCTCTGAGGACTAAGGTGGAATGCCTCACAGTCTACAATCATACTGCCTCTCTATTAGGTATAGGGTCCTTCAGACCGTAATAAAGCAGTGCAAGCACTACTATTTGTCGGCAGAAATAGGTAAGAGCAGACAAGCAATCCTATTTCACATAGTAGAAAACGTTGTTAAAACGTAACATGTATTATTTATGTATTAGATTGTCTCTACTCAAGTGCTAGCTAATTTTTAACCATTTTAACCATTTCACTATCCCGTGAGTCGCATTTCGATTGATTAACTATTGTTTTGATAATACTATACAAAATGATATTTTCTTAACAATACTTACGATATAGTCTTGTGTTGCTTTACTATTTGGTTTTCCCATAACATAATCTTTACCACATAACCTATCCACGACTGGTGCAGGAGGCCAAAGACGAAGAACTTCTGTAAATCGAATACACCAAATAAAGGAAAAGGTCTTTTACACAATCCAAAAGGAGGGTAACGGTTTTTGTAGTTAGATAGAGACAAGCAAAAAAAAAAAATTGTACCTGAAACAGTCATATCCAAGTATTTCATACGCTGTATTGTGTCATAATCAATTGATGTCTCACTGTTTTCGTTTTTAGAGTCGTTTTCTTTAATTTCTTGAAATAAACGTTCTTGAACATCCGTGTTCAGGGCCAGCTCATACAAAGCAAATGCCAGCACCGTTGATATTGTTTCAAAGCCGGCGAAGAGGAAAAGAACAGCTTGTGCCGCAAGTTCAACATCTGTCCAGTCTGTAAGTCATGATAAAACTGTTTTCATTTTTGTTACTTTTGATTCAGCATTATTTAATTAAATACAACTATGTCTGACTATGAAAGCAAAACCAACATCTATTTTTGTATTAAAATATACACCTTTATAAACTTTCTTTCTTCCAACTGCAGATTCTTCAACCGTTGCGAAACCAGCATCAACTTTAGTATCTTTACTGTCATGAGACAAAGTTCCTGAAAATTTTTTTCATGGTCAATATGCTAGCATGTTTATCCATTATACTAAAATACCATTCTCTTTAATCTTTATTGATAAATATAATTTGAGAAATGTGTAAATAATTTAAAAAAATGTTAGTTTCAAAAATTGTGAACACTTAATTTATGATAGGAATTCATGAATCAATTCCAATCTTGTGAAATTCAACGCCTCCAAGTGTGTCTTTTCACCGCTAAAGGGAACTCACTTACCTTCGCTCCTACTTTTCGGAATGTACCTTGGAATACACTGATCGCCTTCAGATCTTAGGGGTTGAATTTTCTCCGAACCTCAACTATGGGCGGTTTATTGAGTTCAGGGCCAAAACAGCCGCAAGGAAACTAGGTGTCCTTGCAAGGGCGCGGCGGTAATTAACGAGGAGCAGTTTCTTACCTTATATAAAGCGCAAGTGTAGTCGTGCATGGAGTACTGCTGTCACAAATGGGCTGGTGCTGCAAAATGCCACTTGGCAGCACTAGACTCAGTGGAAAGACGTGCTAAAAGGCTCATTTGAGACATTGGTTTGGTTGAAACCAATCTTGTCAGTCTCGAGCGCAGGCGCAATAAATTTAACTGAGGTGACATTATAAGATTCCACTCAGGCGAAGCCAAAGCGTGTCACTAGTTTATAATAATCATTGGTACTTCTGATAACGATCTAGTCATTACTAAGCGACTATAAGTTAAATTTAAATTATATTCGTTTTGGCGAGACGGTGGTCCATAGCTATGCTCGGATCCAATAGGTGGCGCTGCAGTCATGTTATTAACAAATTCTATTTTTATTTACCAAAATTTCTCATATTTATGTAACTGTATGTTGGTTTAGTGCCAAAAACGAAAGTCACAAACCCTGAAAACAAGGACCCAATAGGTGACGTTTTGGTCAAGTTATCAAAATATATTAATTATACTGTGAAAAGTTTGGAGTGAATTCCGAGTGAAAATCATCGCTCCAACTACCGTAAATGGTTAAATACCTGTATACATGTCTTCAAATATAACTACTTATTTACTATTCATTGATATAATACCTTTTTTTGCTTCCATAAGAAGTTGTATCATGTCATTTCGTATTATATGCTGCTCTTCACGTTGTTTCATCGTACGGAGTACTAGTTTCTTGAAAAATTCACTCAATGAATTTGGAAACAAGTTTATTTTCAATGTCTACAAAAATTAAATTTATAATTTTTTTTTAATTTTGTCTCCGGATTCATTTCTTGTCAAATTTTATCTGCGTATATTATTTGTGTATATTATGGCAACGAAACTCACCTTCATTAATTTTGGAAACGATCTAAATACTAACAATTTTAAGATGCGTTTGAAGTTAAATGTGGTGATTTTTCTGCAAGATTCGTAGAACTGGTTATCTTCATCCAGCGAATCTACTCTCAAACCGAACGCACACGAAGCGATAACATCGTTAGAATACCGTGTAGCCATGTCTTTGCATTCTATGTCAATGTAGTTTTCTGTAATTGGACAATTTTTGATATTTATAGTTAGAAAAAATTTCCAACATAAAAAGTGAAGTAGCGGAAAGAACAATGACGTTAGTATTATACAACATTATATGTGATAAAGATTTATAGGATTTTTTGAATTATCGATTGGGTTTTGGGTGGCTGCTTGTATTTCATAAACCTAACAACCACTGTTAATCGAATGATATGAAGGCGCAGCAAATAAAGTGTATAAACATAATATTTATTAACTAGCCGTACCCGCGACTTGGTTTGCGTGGAATTAGCACTTTTGCTATGATGAGTGATGATATTTTTTGTACTTTTAACTATCGCGAGGACTTATTATTTATTAATTGCCTGCATAACATAAGCTGGGGTGCAGGTTCCTGACATAATAGTGACTACAACAGAAAATCAATGTCTTCTCTGAAAGTAAATATTTCTAAATTTCCATTCAATTAAAATAATACAACGAAGCCCAAACATTTAATCTAACAAAAGAAACGAAAGTTCTTTCAAAAGTGGATTCAAAAGCTAGTTAAAATAATTTAAAGTTAGTGTTTGGTTTAGTTTAAAAAAATACAACTAATACGCACCTGCAGATTCTTCGATTTTCCTTATTAAGGATTTGATCATGTGGTCTCCAACTTCTACCATCAGAGGAACCATTAATCGTATTTTTGAACTTGTAAACGCAGGACTTAGGGTGGATCGCATCGCTTTCCATTCTTCACCTAAAAATAATATACTCAACGCCTTGAAACTCTTTACAAAAATAAAATTATATTTAACCGAAAGAAATTCAACCATTGATATATTGACTAATCACACGTGTATTTTGTTCACAATACAGATTCAGGGTTTTGAGTTTTGGCCGTGACGTCACGCTATTACATAGTCTTTTGCGAAGCTATTTGCTATCAATTAAATCTGAATAATAGCAAAGGTGATCCAACAAATGACCTACTGCACTGACTTCTCGAAACGTCGGTGTTTTACCAATTAATTATGGTATATATTAAACAGGAGACTGCACTGACTTCTCGGAACATCGGTGTTTTACGAATTAATAATGACATACATTAAACAGGAGACTGCACTGACTTCTCGGAACGTCGGTGTTTTACGAATTAATAATGACATATATTAAACAGGAGACTGAACTGACTTCTCGGAACGTCGGTGTTTTACGAATTAATAATGACATATATTAAACAGGAGACTGCACTGACTTCTCGGAACGTCGGTGTTTTACGAATTAATAATGACATATATTAAACAGGAGACTGCACTGACTTCACGGAACGTCGGTGTTTTACGAATTAATAATGCCATATATTAAACAGGCGACTGCACTGACTTCTCGGAACGTCGGTGTTTTACGAATTAATAATGACATATATTAAACAGGAGACTGCACTGACTTCTCGGAACGTAGGTGTTTCAAGAATAACATATTAAACAGGATAATACAATTAAAATCAAAGTTAAATTATACTGACGTATTTTGTGGCAATTCTTATAGCTTGGGGGCCAGCACTTTTGGGGTTAGGGGTACAGCTCTGGCTTGTGATGGTTGTAAATATTTTAATATTGTATGTATATAAAATGTATATTGATATTTTTTTTTATTTTATTACAATTTCATTCACTATTGAACAGACAAGAACATGACTAAAAAATGAACCGCCTGATAATTTATTTAAGACAATAGGATCCCGATATCAGGAAAGCATGTAAGGCTCGATATATCTATTATTTATGCAATTTACGCAACTACAAAAGGAAACACAAAAACATTATTGATACCAATAAAATATAATAAAAGTGTTACTGGTTATGAAAGGTTATTAGGAACGATTGGTGATGAAATTATACATGGGAATGGTGAAAGCCTTTTCACTTTATGTTTGAAAAAAGTTTATTTGTGATGATCGTTGTATTTCATCATAAATATGGTTTCTTTGTAGAAGGACATACATGCTATTGACCTGATGGTATGTGACGACCGCCACCCATGAATAACTGGTACATCATGGGATAAACATGTGCGTTGCCGGCCTTAAAAAATAAGTAAGCTCGTTTCGTGAAGTTCCCTAAGTCAAATGTATGCACGAGAAAAAGTAAAGATAAACACGTGAAAGATATCGTAATTGTGGATAGAAGAAGGAGGAACGCACTGATAGTGAGTTCCAACTTAGAGACGGACCATTACTTTTTCATATGTCGCATAAATGGTCTGTTCAGACCATATCTGAACGAGGTAAATAGATGGTGTGACACATAGATATCTACATCTATCCTCAACTCAGAATCAATATTCTGACGCGTCGTCACTCCTGAAGACTAAGATGGAATGCTTCGCTACCAGTAAAAAGGGTCTTCGGTGCTCTACATTCACCATACGAAGTACGTCATTATTCTTCTGTTTCACGCTGGTATTCTGTAGCCCCACCCCGGTCGCGCCAACCAAGTCGTACCGCAGCGATATATATTAGGATACTCTGATGCTCAATTTGCGTTGATCGGACCAAAATTTATACACTTTCTAACATTATAAAGTGACGTGTTAGTATAAAGTTAATATTTACTATTAATTCATCACATTTTGTATGAATTATTTGATATACTTTAATCATTCTGAAAATTATCATACCAAGAATTAGTAAAGGTTGTTTGTTACCTTTTAAAAGCAACAAATTTCTTCCAAATAATGGATCTTGTAAATCCTCTCCCAAGCCGCGTCTATTCACGAAGTACTCGAAATCCTTAACGGTAATTTTTCTCAATAGATCGGCATCTTTGATAATCAGCAATGGATTCATCATCTCATAAAATCCAACAATCCTGTAATAGTTAACTGTTTGAGGACCTTCTCAAAGGATCATATACAGATACCTGTTAATATACCTACTAAAACTGTACGTTTTTATTCACCTAATTAACTATAATTTAAAGGTAACATAGGCAAATTATGAAAAAAGAAGAAAGAAAATTTATTTTGTTACATACCATCGAGTTGCACAACAATGTACAAATTTATAACATAAACACTAAATAATAGCTGTGCCCGCAACTTCGCCCCGAGTATTTAGTAATTTTGTTATGATCATTTTCATTTAAAAGATAATTAGCAATAAATACAAATTAAAATTTCATTCACCTATCACTATCACTATCATTACAGCTCATCACAAGTCCACAGCTGGACGTAAGTTTAATGTTATAAAGTATGGTATTACAAAAAAGTACCAGAAAATATACACGGTTCTAATAATATGTAATGCAAAAATATACAAGTTAAAGAAAATATACAAACTCTTAGCAAGTTTGAATATTTTACAAGACAAAAACTGTATAAATATGGGATATTATATTATAAAATAATACAACATGTTTGATGAAAACCCTTGAATGAGGTGGCCTCTTCCAAGCACTACCTCATATCATACTGTGTGTGTTTGATTCCGGTGTGAATGAGATAACAGATGGAAACGAAAGGAAAGAGAGAGTGAACGAATCCTTCGACAAAAGCTAACCTAACCCTTATACGGTGAACAGAATATCGATATACACTATTAAAAATTCTGAATCCAAATACCGCCCACTAGTGATGGGAAGTATAATTACTGGTGATAAGAGGGCTGGTTCTTTCCTCGCTCAAAGGCTAAGTATAGCCATTCAGCGGGGAAACGCAGCCAGCGTTCTTGGCACGATACCGCGGGGAGTAGGACTGTATGATAATTAAGTTTCTAGTTTTAGTTCGTTTTTTCTTATTATCATAGTTTTTAATATTGTAGATAAAAATTCTACAAAATGCACATTTAACATTTTATTTTTTATAACAATGCTTATGTAACATTTTTATTACTATTGCAAGTATAGGCTTTCCTGTCATCAGGCGTGTACGCTTGTCTGCTCTTTGTATTGTGTATTCAGACTAAATAAGGAAGGTACGTATAAGTAACTCTGAATTCAAGCCAAAATCATGATTAGCTTAATGTAAGATCACGTATTCACACATATACGTGTCTAACTTTTTAAAGTACATAACATAAATGTGTTTGTGTCTAGTAGTGAACTTTAGGGGGCTATCAAAGAAACATAAACAAGACTTGTGCGAAAAATTTGGTAAATAAACATAGATTTTCTTAATATTTTGACTACAGCGCCATCTTTTGACTGTATTTACTCGATAAAATAAATATATTATGTGAATATGACTCAATTTGTCAAGCCGTTTAGAAGTTATACGATCATAATGGACGCATCAAGAATTATATATAAATATATTAAGATATATAAATATACTCACGTATCATCAGGATAAGTCTGATACAATTCTGTTAGTCGGTTTATAACATTATCTCGTTTCAAAATTATGCGGGCCGTGTTGCCAAGGAAAGGGACCACTGGAAGATGATTGACACCGGCCTTCAAGAATTTCGAGTGCATCTGCCGTGCATACAGCACTAGCGCTACTATTATAGCCACCGCCCAGATATAAATCATCATTTTTCTGTAATTTATTTATATATTTAAGAAGGTAAAATTTCTAACTAAACATCTTGGTCTATTGTATCTATTGTAATTACAAAACTGCCGATAGGTACTCCATACAAAGTGCTAGGTACTAATATAGATTATAAACATTACACATACTCGTATATAGCGAAAAGCGCTAGCACTCGTACATTGAAACGCTGCAGGTGTATTCAACGTCGTACTGAAAATCACAGGTGCTGGAAGTCATTTTATTTGTTTTAATATCAAGATAAATGTTGCAATTAATATAAAATAGAAAATAATTTTTATTTTCAAATGAATACATAGTATAATATGTAACTATAATGTCATAACTTGTATTAATCTGTAACTAAAGTTCCTGTTTAATTTTTTTTTTATCGATAGCTAATCGATAATTTTGGCTTTGCTTTGTGTATCGTTAATTGCCTTTTTCAAACCGATTTAACATTATATATTTGTCACCACATTCTGTATCACCCATATTGCAAAATAAAGAAATTAATTAATTCATTCATTCATTATTTGTTCCAGGTCTATATACGCTAAACTGTAAGCCACCACCCGCACCATGCACTAGGGTAAAGACTATAGTAGTCTTTAGCGCGACTGTTGATCATGACAATTTTGGTTCCAGGTCGAGCCAAAATTAGATATTGGGTTTTATCCATCAAGAAATTCTCTGGAGCATCGCGGAGTCAGGAAGTTTGCGGTGCTTCACCCTGTGAGTCGGAAAGTGTATATGCACTTGATCTCTCGGGTTATATTGAATTGAAATATATTGTTTGAAATTATTTTTTTTTAATTTTTACAAAAGTAAGAGTGACTTTTGAGAACAGTCCACCTAATGGCAAGTGGATGTACCTACACCATGGATCACAACCATCTATCTACGCTTATAAATATGCACATGCGTTGTCCACCCTGAGGACTAAGACGGAATGCCTCATTACTATTAAAAATGATCACCAGTTCTATATACTCATTTGAAACACGAAAACATTGTGCTGATATTTCACGCTGGTAATCTGTAAGAGCGTGGTACTTCCCCGATCGAGGCGACCCATTCGTGTGACAGTCCTAATACAGATGTAGGGTGGGTGAACTACATCAAAAATGTAAGAACTAGCGTAGATCAGAATTTGACGCTACGTAAACTTTCATAGTACAGGAACAGGCAGAAATTGATCTCGATTGGGTTAATTTAACACGTGCTCAGCGGTGAAGCAAAACATGTTTAGGAAATTTGCATGTTCGTGAAATTGAAAAAATCACTAACTAATGTTTCATCTTAATATTATTATTTTTTTATAGAAGAGGCGGCAAACAAGCATGCGGCTCACTTAATGGTAAGTGACTACCACCGCCCATGAACAACTGCAACACCAGGGGAATTTCAGATGCGTTGCCGGCCTTTTAGAAAGGTGTAAGGTGTCTCTTTTCTTGAAGGTCCCTAAAGCGTATCGGTCCGGAAAAATTGCCAGTGGTAAACAATTCCACAGAGAAGTTGTACGAGGAAGAAAACTCCTAGTAAACTGCTCCTGCTTTTTTTCATGTATTAGTGTGATATATAAAATATACCGAATTTAATTTTTGCTACCTGCTCTAATTAAATTCGACCCTGTCAAGTCGACAGTAAAGCCTAACCTCTCTTGCTTCGCATTCGAGTTCGAACCGTGCAATATTAAGAAGTCTGCCAACAAGAGTTGAAACAGAAACAAAAACAGAAACAGAAACTTTTTTATTCAATATAGATTATAAATAATACTTATTGAAAGTCACTCTTTTGTACGATTACCACTGGTTCGAAAAAAAAACCTTTGTCCTGGGAAGAACCAGCAAGAAACCTAACGGGACTTTTTTTTTAAAATAACAGCTTACAATCATGTATGTTACACAAATTAACAACACAACAAATTAGAAATAGCTTGATAGCGATCACCTCATTTCCAGGGGTTATTATCATGGGGCTGCGGGCTGTTCGAAAGAGATACCGCGGCTCCGGAACGTAAGGGCACTGAAGGAACACGGATGGTTTTTAGTCAGTAAAAGTCTGACACTCCCTTCTGCTCCACCCAGAGCGAAAGGCGTCATTTGATGATTTTCCATCCGCAAAAAAAAAGGGTTATTATCATCTATAAATTCATTAATATTATAATAACCCTTTTTATACAAACTTAGTTTAATAAAGTTTTTGAACTTTGAGTAGGTCAAATTTTGTATATTTTCTGGAATTTTGTTGTAAAAGCGTATACATCGCCCCAAGAATGAATTACTGACTCGATGGAGTCGAGTAACTGGTACTACTAGCTTGTGTCTGTTCCTAGTATTTACAGAATGAATATCACTTATTTTTGTAAAACTACTTTTATTTTTGTGTATTTTGTGTAGTTGAGGCGGCTCTACGAAATTGACCCTGTTCCAAATATATTTTAGAAATAGGAGGCCGCTCTTGTCCATCAGTGGGACTAGTGTCGCTTATAAATTAAAGATACTTTTTTAAAATTAATAATTAAAAGATAATATCGAATACGATGAGAACGAGACGACGTATGTAGGGCTATTATGAAATCAATTTTCAAAAACTCTGGTTGTTTATTAATAATAATAATAATAATCTTTAGTTGCAAGAATATGGTCCTACAATGGCGTTCAAGTATATAGTTCTACATATTCTACCTTAGTGGTATGCATATTAAAGGTCAAGTAACTAACATAGCAATATTTATAGAATTTTTAACAGTACATAAATTATTTAATACTATTCAATGAGGGCTAGTAATTTTCTGCTCACCAGATGTCGATAGTTGATACTGAGGTTGAAGTTTTAAGTTACACAATGTCATTTAATTGAGCAACTGGTTTTTAATAAAAGTTTATCAGTTTCTAGAGTATTATATATTAATACAAAAACAATGTGTCAGTGCTTTGCTCTTTAATCTTTTGCGCATTTTTAACGTTTTTTTTAAATTTTCCACTTTTATGAATATTTGTGGGTTGGGTTAATGTAATATTAGTTATATTTCATATTAAGGTTATTAATATAAAATATAACTAATATTACAAAACGAAACAATAGCCTATACATTTTCCGAACAAATTAACTTCCCCGCTATGAAATCTGTCAAATATTTTACCTCACTTTTTAGTGGCACCGCCCTGGTCGCAGAAAAAGTCGTGGATTTGATAATTAATTATGTGTCAGAATAAATGCTAATGTAAGATATATTTTGCTATTTAAAAGATATATTTAGCTGGGAACAAAAATATTACAATTAACCGCTTACACCGTAGACATATTTTCTTATGATAGGAAAGTGAAAGTAAGACAAAGATTTTAAAGGTCAAAAAACTTAAGTTCGTTGACATTCTTGCACATTTGAAGGTAACCAGAACTTAAAAGACTTTCGAATCAAATTGTTAAAACGTTTTGCCTCATAGATACGTTAATTGTATACGGCGCATGAGGTTATGGTTCTAATATTATTCTATTTTTGACTATAGAGTAAAACAAGTGGTAAAATTGAAAATTTTGTACGTACTACCGACTTCAATGTTAATAAAATACGCATTATTAGGGATAACTCAAAAACTGCAGGTCACATCTTGATCAAACTTAATCTCAAGATCAAAGGGACCACGCATGAGAAGAACCAGATTTCAAATAAAAAAGAATCATTGATAGAATCAGGCGTTAGTTTGCGGAAATTCATTATAATGGGGTTGTTATAAATTAATTTGCTTAATTTTTATTCAAATTCAAATTATTTCCGAGAGTGGTGTGTCGTGCCTAGAGTGCTGGTGCTTTGGTGTTGGTGTTTGGTAGTGCTGGGATTAACGGCAACGGGTATAGTGCGTGCGATTGAGGGAGGGTGGGGGGTCACCTTAAAACTTGCCAGGAGACATCATTTTCTTTCTTTACGCGGAATTAAGCAAATTAGTTTATAACAACTCCATTAAAAAAGAATCATCTAAAACGGTATACATAGAAAAACGAAACATGCGTGTGTCGTGGAACACTCGGTTGGATCGAAGTTCCTGTTATAATATATTATTATTAATAAACGTATTATATTATTAATTTACAAATACAAATAAATGAATTAGTAGTGTCTATCAAAATGAAGCGTTATTTAAAATAATATTTCTTTCATGGCAAGATAAGAAAGAGTGCGAGGAAGATGGATATTATTCCGTCTTGCTCTCACTATAGAAAGGGTCGTGACGGAAAAATCTTACATTTTTTCTCGCCTAGCCCTCATCCGTCAAATTCGTATCGTGCGATAAAAAATTCGTTTCAAAAGTTCTGAGGTAACATGAACAAAAAAAATACTTTTACTTTTTTGGGTTTAATAGAATATTTAATAGATATTAGTTATAGGATTTAATGAAACATATGTAAAGTCATATCGTTATATAAATCTGGTAGTACATTGGACCCCACTCATTTAAGACCTATTTCTATACTGCCAACGCTTAATAATATAAAATAAAAAATTAGATTCAATTTTTTTTTAAATATGAATAAATTGCTCAAAAATATCACTTTTATTTAACAAGGGGTCGGTCAACAACTGACGCCGGTTTTGAGGTGATCAAATATAATTTATGTGCTTGAGAGAATTCTATAGATGCTTTGGGAATATTTTGTGATATTTCCAAGGCATGCAACAGGAGAGGCATGTTCAGCAAATTACTTTTTCGTGGTAGTAAAAAGAAATACGAAGAAAAAAGTTGTTTTTCTGTTTTCAGCTATTTCTTTAAAAAAATACCACCAAACTTATTACATCATATTGAAATATTAGAACACAAACAGTTGCTATTAATGGGAGTAGTTCTCCCAAGCAGGTAATATCTATGGTTGTTCCTCAGAGCTCAATTCTTGGCCCCTTCCTAATATTAATTTATGTAAATTACTTACATAGGTAAGGAATAGAAACGTTTTGGTACATGCTGCAGCTATATTATGGTTGTAGCACGAATGGGTGGGC